GAAAGCACCTAGGTCGTACCCAAAGCTCGAGATCTGATGCAGAGCCTGGAATAGGGCATTGGCGTAACACGAGTTGGACGTGTTAGTCAGAGCGCGTTTGTGCACTCCTTCGGGTCTAATTTCCGCTTGTCCTGAGGACTGCGGATCAGACGCCTGCTTGTCTGCCGGGGCTTGACGAGCTGTGCTCGACTGATTGGAGGCTGTGCCATTCGACCGTGACTTAAAGAAGTGGGTCAGTGACCGTTCTTGGGGCTTGGAGGGGGGAGCAGTAACGGCTTCCTCTGCCTCCGGTTGCCCTCGCAGCCACTGTGTGCTCACCTGATAAAGTACAGGGCATTGTTCCGGGTGCAGTCGACGATCATAGACCTTGTAACCGCAGAATGAACACGGGTGTCCCTTGGCAAGGTGAGGCGAGAAACCCTGACATATTGAGACTGCGCGCTTGTGCAGCCTTGACCAGTCCTTAGGATGCGCCTGACGGAAGTGTGACTTGACTTTAGTGTGATCGAAAGTCCAGAAGTCACACGTGAGGCACCTATGGATCAGGACCCGGGCCTCCGGTGTCTTTGAGATCACCGCTATTCGATGTTGTGGGAGTTGGGCGATGTCCTGTCGCAGCTGGGACAGGGTCCTTACCTCAGGGTGACTTGAGTGTTTGTCAGTCACGTTCAGAGTTCGAAGCTTCTGGGGCTCCGGACATGCTCCTGACAACAAGTGGTCACGAAGACGTTTCCATTGATGAAATTTGCGCATGCAAGCAGCACATTGCGGCATCCCATCCACCGCGTGGAGTTGTCGATCGAAGCTTGATGGCACAAATCGGTCGATGCTGGCTGGATGCACTCTCGACGTGTGTAAGTGTAACCCGTTTGCCGTCTCGAAGGAGGCATCGCAGAGTGTGCATGCATGTAGGGCTACAGGGTGCTCAACTGCTTCAGGGAGTTGTGACATGAAATGCAGCTTGTCCCGGATGACTTGCAAGACAGAAGGATCGGTTGTGATATCTGGGCTTCTGGCTGCACGTCGCTCAAGTTTGCGGAGTCGCTTCCTGAGCTTGACCTGCATCGCTTGAACTGGGTCCTGAATGCTATAAAGCTGGAAGAGATCCTTAGTGGTGATGCGGCTGGTGTGTGCTGGTAAGTTCAGCACTGATCGCACCTTGTAAGCATGCCAACTGCGTAGCTGCTTGGCCGACTCCTCGCTGAGTCCGACGTCCGAGAGGCCTGTCGTCAGTGTGCTCAGGACTGTGCTTTGCCAAACCTTAAGTCTCGACATGGTGCTCGCGTGCCGGCGATTGTAGACAAACTGGCGGACTTGATGCAGCTTTTGCTTGGCTTCCCCTATGCGGTAATGCAAGGACTGCAGCTCGAAGTGGTTGTAGGAGATCATAACCCCCAGGTACTTGCTACAGGAGACCCACTGGAAGGCGGGGAACGATTTGTTGGGCCCTATGCGCCATCCGCGAACCTGCTCGCCCTTGGAGTTGGTGATCCAGCAGCCGTGTTTGTTCATCACGTTTTGGGATTCTCTACCCGCTAACTTCACTAAGATGACGCACTTGCTGATGTTGACGCGTAGGCGGTGTTTGCGGACCTCCTCAAGTAGCGCTGCGATAAGCGCATGAATGGCCCTGAGGTCCTTGTCAGAGCGGATAGTCCGATGGAGCGTGAGATCATCGGCATATCCTGTCAGGAATTTCAAGACTTGCTCAGCACCGAAAAGGTCAACCAAAGAGCGGAAAAGGTCACCTGTAAGGAACGAGAAGAGTGTGGGGGCGAGCTTACATCCTTGTTTAATGCCTGCTGTGGTTTCAACAGAGGTGGAGTCTCCCTGCGCGTGAAGGACGTAACGAGACCCATCATGTAGAGCCTGAACGAGATGGACTGTGTCCTGGTCGGCCCCTTCTCTCTGAAGAAGGTCGATGATCTCTTGGCGAGAGACAGTGTCAAACGCTTGGCTGAGGTCAAGAGCAAAGGTGAGGCCGCCGACTAAGGCCGGGGCCTGTGTGCCTTGTTGCAGGGCATGTCTCGTGGGGTGAGCCTGTTCTAACAGGGATCGAGCCTCTCGCAAGTGATGCACCACGCGTTCTAGCGCGTCTGACAGCCCCCGACCTGGTAGATAAGCGAACTGTGGCATGTGCTTGAGGAACGAGAGTGTCAGTGGTTGAAGCGCTTCTCTGGCCGCTCCCGCCAGCCCCTTAGCGTCAGGCCTAAGGATGCCCAGGGGTCTCAGGTTTGCGGGTTTGTCAGAGGGCTTGCCCGGCTTGGGTATTAAGCAGAGGTCCGCGTCTACGAGGTCGGATTCTAGACTGTCCTCGACCTGCTTGGATGCTACGTGTTCGGAGAGGACCGGTGCAACGAGATCGCTACACAGCCTCCATACAGCCGCTGGTGCCGCTCCGTCAGGAACAGCTTTATTCGGCTTGATGGAATGTATGTGAGCTGCTAGTTTAGGCGGCTCCAAAGCAGGGAAAGCTCCATGCATTGTCCGTAACGGAGGGTGGGCCGCAAATACCTGATTGGCATAGTCCCTGAGGGCTGCTAGTTCCTGCGCTGGACCTAGTAGATGTCCTGTGTTGTCCTTTAGCTGAGCTCTGCGCGCAGGCTGCCAAGGCTGCAGCTTTTTGAGGGTCTGGAAGGAGATATGTTGATCACCTTCAGCTAGACACGCGTCCACTTCCGATATGAAACTCGCAATTCGATCTTTCTTTGCTTGTTTCACAGCCTGGCGGTGTGCCACTTGTGCCAGCTCAGCTTCGGTTTCCGGCGGACGTGGCGTGTTCTGATTAGGAGGCTGTGCCATTGCTTTAGGTGACTCGATCAGCTGTGCTGAGGGAGTGGTATTCGCAGCCCTGTCATGGGTGCGGGCCCGCCACATTCGACGGGTTTCCGATTCCAGCGGGATCGGTCTTCTTTTGGGAATTTTTGGGAAAAAGCGTTCTGCACCTTCCAAAAGCAACGCATTCCATGCCTTGGGGTCCTGGCAGGTGTCGATTCTGGAAGCGATCCAGTTGTGCAGGGCCTTGGCCGTATCGTCCTCCTCCCTGACTGAGGCCTGTAGAGCTAGTGAATCATACCGGCGCGTGCTGGGCTTGTGGGATGGGAGCAGCCAGTGGTGTTGGAGGGGCACGTCAGCTTTGAGTGGGTAATGCCCTCCTTTCTTCCAGCTGCCCAACGGACAGTCCACCCAAGGGGCTGACCGTTTGGCTTTGCCTCCCGCCGTAGATTCTTTGGTGAGAATGAAGTCAATTTGCGACTCCACGCCTCCTTGTGAGAAGGTAGCTATATGGTCACATTGCCAGGTGTTAAGGGCAACCAAACGCAGCCTGAGCAGCAGATTAAACAAGTTGGATTCGTCAGGGCGGTCCTCAGTGGGTGGCTTCACGTGCGTTCCCACCAATGGAGAGCTCGGACGCAGGGAGGTGTTAAAATCGCCTGCTACAATAAGGGAGTCCCTCTTAGGCACCTGCTTGATCACCTTGGACATGACAGATAGTACCTTAGCACGGTCGTCCTTATTGGACTGGATGGTCTTGGCAGAAGACCAAGCGTGTTGGTACACCGCGACAACAACCAGCCGAGTACCTGCAATGTCCGCACGAGCTTCTAAGACTCTACCCGGGCTCCACTCCTTCCAGCGTAAGCTCTTGGGGACGAACTTGGGAGAGAATAGGATCATGACTCCATCAGCGCGAGTCGTGGATGGAGCTCGCGGTTCTTGCCGAGTGTTTCGCTTCGCTGCTTGTTTAGGCCGGGTGTTGGGTTTGGTAGACTCCGAGGCTGAGGAGATACAGTACCACCCAGAAACGCTGAATTCACTGGTCTCAGTCCAGTGCGTTTCCTGCAATATGAGGATGTCGCAGTGATGAGAGGCTTCAGCTGCTAGCCACGTTTTGAGTTCGCCCCATTGCTGTTGGCCTAGGTGGCCCGCGTTCCACGAAAGAACTCGAATGGATCTTTCCAACCTTCCTGCCCTGCGGGAGGCTGTGCCATATGCAGGGGAGTCAGCAGTCTGTGACTGAAGCTCTCTTCGAGTGGGTGGGGGGCGCACCCCCAGACGATCAACCAGGGTAGGTGTCAGAACCTGCCCTCGATATGGTACGGGCCCGTCGCTACGGACTGTCCTTCTACATGCTGTCTTGAACGAATTCTTACGAAGAGATGCAAAGTTTTGTGAGTGCACTGGCAATTGCGCCATCCGCTACTTTCGTCAAGAGACAGAAGCCTAATGACTCCCTCCACCGCGCGGAGGTGGAAACCCTACCGCCTACCCAGTGTTGCAATGTTTTAAACAGAGTCTGGGCCCAGGAATTGGGACCTGGCGGCTCAAAGCAGCTCCTGTGAGAAAAGGGAGAGGACCATGGCGTAGAAGGAGGCACAAACCTTTACTGTTCAGAAAAGGGCCCGGTTGGAGCCTCTAGCACAGCAGTTGCGCCCCAAGCCTGTTCGAAACCTCTCAATCAGCGCGGCCGCTTGAGCACTTGTGGCGGCTACTACTACTACTACTACTACTACTACTACTACTACTACTGGTACTACTACTACTACTACTACTACTACTACTACTACTACTACTATGTTTACTGCTACTACTAGTACAACAACAACAACAACTACTACTACTACTACTACTACTGCTACTCCTACTACTACTACTACTACTACTCCTACTACTACTACTACTACTACTACTACTACTACTTTACTACTACTTCTACTACTACTACTACTACTACTACTACTACTACTACTACTACTACTTTACTACTACTACTACTACTACTACGACTACTACTACTACTGCTATTACTACTACTACTACTACTACTACTACTACTACTACTACTACTACTACTACTACTACTTTACTACTACTACTACTACTACTACGACGACTAGTACTGCAACTACTGCAGCTACTACTACTGCTGCTACTACTACTACTACTACTACTACTACATTATGAGGACCACCTCAGCCCGCAAAGCTGCAACTTGGAAGGCTGTGAAAATTCACTCGGCCGCGGCTCGGGATCGGTGCGTGGACATGCTGGTGCATCTCGACGTGAACAGCGCCGAGGCATCTTTTCCCGCAGACAAGGCCATGCTGACAAAAGTAGTTTGTGGGGAGCGTGGCTACTACGACTGCTACTCCTATTGCTGCAGACCCTCCCCTGCTCCTGCTGCGGCTGCTGCCGCTGCCATTGACGCTGGCTAAGATGAAGCAAACGGTGACGCAGGATGAGGATGAGTATGATGACGATGACGATGATGAGAATAGTGATGATACTGCTGGGCGATGGTGATGATGCTGTTGCTGAAAATGGCCATGGTGATGATGGTGATGATGCTGGTGATGATGACGACGATCACGGTGATCACATGCTGCCGATGATGATGGTGATGCGTAAAGAAAAAGATGATGGTGATCCTCGGGAAGGTGCTGATAGTGATCGTGATACTGATGATGAGCATATGGTGCTGAGAGGAAAGAGTCCAGGGCGGTGTGGTTCTGGAGATGGTGACGATGATGATGTTGCTGACCACGAACAAAGAAGATCACGGCCGCCATCAATATTAAGACAACCACATGTCCAGATCTGCGCGGCGTTTCCTGTCTGGTTTAGTTCAGTACTGGAGACAACTGTGCCGCTGTCGACCAGGAGCGTGTCCTCAGCAAGATTGAGGACACGGCGGGTTTCAATGCGGGCCTTCAGGATCTCGTGCTGCATCGACTGGAACGGTTTTTACGGGGAGATCAGGCGCGCTCCTCCGCGGCATTCTTTGATGAGGTTGTGCTGGCGGCGGTCAGTGTGGCCTTCTAAACGCTTGGCGACTGCTGCGGGTGCCCAAGGCAGCCCTGCCCAACGTGCCCTGGACAGCTACCATGTTAACCTGGACGTGATGGTTTTTCAACCTGACCACAGATGCCACAGTGATTCGACCAACGTCGCGACATTCATGAAGTTGGCTTTTGTTCCAGATCCTCAGTCCAGGTTCAAGCTTAACATGTCCAATTCGGAAGGCCAAAAGTCGGCTTTCCAGTTCCTCTGGTTTGAGGCTGTTGTTTTCGCCTTCAACAAGGGTTCATCCCCGGTTGTAAGATGGCTGTTGAAGCGGCCTCATGTTCGTTTGTGCAAAGGATCACAAGCTGTGGGCAAGATTCGGGTCGAAGGTCCCGTGAGCCGCCCCCCGCATGTCGTGCTATCGCGCGGAGCAGAAAGGACAAGCGATGCTTGTTTCCAGGCTGCTCAGCTTCGTTCCAGTCGCTTGTTGTAAGTCTACGCTCGAAGTAGCCTGTTCTCCTTTTCCCAGGGAAAAGGTTTCACAGGTCACAGGTGCCTCGCTTTGGTACGTGCAGCTGTTTGCTGTCTGTACATTGTTCGATGACCTCGATAACTTCGCAGTCATTCCATTGTCTTGAAGAGCGCTTAGCAAGGTTCTCAATATTTTCAATTAGAAACTAGCCATCGCCTCATCGCCGAGTCATTACTCACCGTGCTGTGTGCATGGACTCCCACGTTTTCAAGACGCCTTTTTTTTGGATCTAAGAAGGGATCTACGGCACCTACTATTTAAGATGCAATATTATGGTCCCTTTTTGGGGGTACCCTAAATAGTAGGTGCCGTATTATAATAAGGACCTAAAAAGGGATCCTAATTTTGACAGCTACCCATGTGCCTGAGCAAGCCGTGATGTGCTCGAGCCATGAGGCGCCAAAGACTAAGTAGCCCACAGCAGCTGCGCTTTGGGTTTAGGGTTTAGGGTTTAGGGTTCTCTTGTTGAAGCTCACACGTGTAGGCATGAAGTGCTTTCGGGATGCGCCGAATGGAGCAGCAAAGGGCGTGAAGACAGCCGTAACTTAGAACCGAGGCCCTGAACCCTCCAAGCTTCTGCCAATGCTTGCACAGTATTTTGCACTCTAGCTGATCACGGCTACCATGAATTCAACTCGCCATGGGGCAGCTGAGGCCCGGACCTGGTTCAGGATTCCTGAACCCTCCACCCTATTTTTCTGCAGTTCGAACAGGGCCTATAAAATAAAAAACAAACATTGAAGGAATGACAGAAGATTGATGAAGATGAGGCTGACAAGGGCTCAAGTGCTATTGCTGCGGCTCGGCTGTTACGGTGATGGTGCTGGTACTGCTGTGGTGACTGTGAGGGCCATGATGATGCGGGTTGTGATTGTCCTGGTGTTGTTTTGGGTTTACTTGTCAATGGCAGTGATCACAGTCTTCTGTAGCGGTGTGCCAAGGAAGGCAAGATACATTTCTATCAGGACAGGACAGTTTGAAAAGATCACCATGCACTTCATACAGACCTCAGACCTTACACACCGAACCCCCGGACCCTGAACCCAAATGAAGCTCTAGGAGTGACGTAAACGGGTCTCTATGAGGCGCCCCGAAGCCAGAAGCTCGGTTTCGAAACGGTCTGCAGACCCCATTGCCTCCAGACAAATCCGCGTCCTAGACCTGCGATAAGTCACAGCTCAGAGCCTCACTTCCGATATGCGAGCTTTCCTTCCGGGTGCTCCGAAGCTTCACCACCTCCCAAACCCCTAAACCCTACACCCCTAAATACATTGTGTTGGAATATCTACCTTCATGTAAAGTGCTCGAAAACGTTTCTATGCCTGAACTCGAAACCCTGAGCCCTAAGCCCCACCGGGAGGTAGACGAGCCGGACCTCTCAATGGAGCTGGCCGGCTCCCTTCAGCGATGTCTAGAGGCCTTGAATGCGCACGAACGGGGTGGGTGAGGGGTTTTACTAGGTAATATGGAAACCTACTTAAAGACCAATCTTATTTCTTAGGGTTCCTCAGTTTGAGCATACTTTTCTAGATCCCCAAACCCTTTTCTATTTGTTAAAGCCACGATCTTATGGAGCTTTCTGGATTTAGGATCTCAGTTCTCGGGTGCGAGGTATGTAGAGGTATGGTTGGAGCGCTTCAATGAGAGAGAGAGAGAGAGAGAGAGAGAAAAAGAGAGAGAGCAAGATGTTTTGTAGGTAGTTACATGCATAGATACCCATACAAAACAACCGAAAGCATGACTACATAATTACACATAAACATAGATACACATGTTAAGATGCAAAGTGATTTAGATGCGGATGTAGATAGAGAAGATATAGATGCATATCCGGATGTACAGAAAAAGGCAAATACATAGTCTTAAACATAAACAAACTCAAATACAATTACAAATGCATCTTTATGAATGAATGAATGAATGTATGTATGTGTATGTATGTATATGTACATAGGTGTATATATGTATTTGTATATGTGATTGAATATGTATATGTATATGTATATGTATATGTATATGAGTATGTCTTTAGATAAATCAACGACTTGCTTTCGGGAACGAACAGCAGCTCAGAAGCCCATTCCCTACTAACCAAAGATAAGAAGCTGTGGGACAGAGCCACTTCCCTGGTTCACCCATCGGAGAGACCCGGAAGTTCGCAGTAAATAGGGAGCCCGGGCAGGCCTGCTAATACTACAATATAGTATATAATACTATAATATAGTATATAATAGTATAATATAGTATATAATACTATAATATAGTATAGAATACTCGATTTTACCGCAATACGCACTAAAATCTGCAACAATCCATTCTAATATGCCCATAATTTACGAGATTACACGATACTTTGTGTTAGCACCGGTGGAGGAGTTGGGAGCCACCTGAACTAAGAGTTCCCAGCTTGTAGAGCAGGATTGTTGGCAGTGATGATCATAGCGGATATTTTCCCAACTTGTGGGAATAGTTGTGCGACCCTCAATCCCAAACCTTAAACCCCCTCAAGCCTGAACCCCAAAGCCTAATTCTAACCCTCAAACCGCTAAGCCTAATCCCTAAACCCTAAACCCTAAACCCCTAAACCCTTAAACCCTAAGCCCTCAACCGAAACCCCAAAACTTTAGACTAACCTTCAACTCAAATGACGCGAGCATGAGAGATCATCGAGAGCCAGGCTCTCGAGCTGGAGTTCTCGAAAGAGGCAGGGCCGAAGATGAGTGTTGGGGTTCAGGGGTTTAGGGGTTTAGGGGTTTAGTGGTTTAGGGGTTCAGGGGTTAAGGGGTTCAGGAGTTTAGGGGTTTAGGGTTTAGGGGTTCAAGGGTTTGGGGGTTTAGGGGTTTAGGGGTTTAGGGGTTCAGGGGTTTAGGGGTTTAGGGTTAGGGGTTTAGTTTAGGGGTTTAGGGGTTTAGGGTTTCGTCGGTGTTGATAGGCTCGTTACCAAGAGCCTGGCGCCTGCGGAAAAAGGGCTTAGAGTTTCGTTTCGGGGTGTAGAGCAGGGTTTCAGGTTTTATGAGGCTGTTGGGGGATTGGTTCCAACAGGAGTTTCAGCATCTGTTGTTTAGGTGCCTGTTCTAGAACGCAAGTTGTGGTTGAGGGGCTTTCCCGGTCTGTCAACCCTAAAACCCCTAAAACCCTAGGGTAACTCAAAACCCCTAAGCCCCCAACCCTAAACCCGGGTTGTGCTCAAACGGTTTTGGGGATCCGGGAAGTTGATTCAGAAAAGAGGGTGCTTAAAGGCTTACAGGATGCTGGGACTGAGTATCTTATTGGTAGAACTATACCTAAAACTACTTATAACACAAGTTAAGGTACTTATAACGATACTTACTAAGTACCAAGTCTCATGATCCTCCAAGCAGTGTTCCAGAAATCAAGACCTGGCTTCAAAATAAGAAAACCTTTACAAGGATACCCAAACAACCCTATACCCTAAACCCTAAACCCTAAACCCTAAACCCTAAACCCTAAACCCTAAACCCTAAACCCTAAACCCTAAACCCTAAACCCTAAACCCTAAACCCTAAACCATGATCCCTAAACTGAGCGTGCCCCAGGTCTTGAAAGCATCAACCCTCAACCCTGAGTTGGAAAGCACAATCCCAAACCCAAACGCCTAGAACCCAAAACATGCAAAACCCTACACCCTGGGTTTAGGGTTTAGGGTTTAGGGTTTAGGGTTTAGGGTTTAGGGTTTAGGGTTTAGGGTTTAGGGTTTAGGGTTTAGGGTTAAGCTCAATCCCCGAAATCCAACCCTAAACCCTGTGGTGAGTGGCTGCCCGCTTGAGCGTAGTTCACGTCTCTTCTGCATGAGCGTCCTGGATACCCTTAGGGGTCATTCAGAACAAGGCGTTCTCATCACAAAACCTCAACCCTCAACCCGAAAGCTTAAGCCGTAAACCCGATGCCTACCTTGCCTAACCCTAAGCCCAGTTCTTAAGCTCCAGACCCGAAGCCCAAACTCGAAACCCGAAGCCAAAACTCGAAATCTTAAACGCTTTACTCCAGAGCCCCGGCACCAAGCCGCATAAAGGATCCTCGGATAGTCTCTAATCAACGCTACTATTAAGAGACCGTCCTTTGCCCTGAGAGGTTCGGAAGCTCGAAGCGCCATGTGACGACTTGGAGGACGAGATCCAGTGCGTGGGGGCCCTCTTCGAAGCCTTTCTTGGTTAAGTCGTTCTTGGCGTTGATGGTTCAGCCTGGTGCAGTGCATATGATGCCTTCCCTGAGCTTTAAACTCTAATCCCTAAACTTTAAACCCTAACAGAGCAACCCTAAACGCAATCCTTGTGAGTGCTTAAGATATGCTTCGTGCTTGTTGGGGCTTGAGGAGGTTCAGGCGGTTGAGGGGCGTCTGGCTGTTCTCCGAACCCACGCTGAAAAGGACCCGGGACTTCAATCCTCAGCACTCCGCATCAGGTTGGATGTATCTAGTAATTGGCAATAACAAAAAAGAATGATAACATCAGTATACATACATATATATATGCAGATACTACATATATGTATGTTTGTGTGAGTACATACATTACACCACGTTACTAATTACATTAAACTACATTACATATTGCATTACATACGACATGCTACATTACATATTGTATTACATTACATATTCCATTACATATTACATTACATATTCCATTACATGGTTCATTACATATTACACTACATGTTAAACCACATACTACAAATCCATATTACATTCCATACTACATCACAGAACATATTGCGCATTGTACTACATATTTCGTTACATGCTACGATATAGGTTACATCACAGATTACATTACAGATTACATGACAAAAACACTACAGTTTACATTACACATTACATGTCATGTCACATTGCATATCACACGACATCACGACATATTACAGTACATATTGCCTGACATATTCCATTATGTAGTACGCTACATATTACATCACATTTACATTACATTGCATACATGCATATACACACATATATATATATATATATATGTATATACACATGTATATGTATGTATGCTATATATACATGTATATATATACATATATATATAGCATACATACATATGCATATGTATATATGCCCTTACATGCGGGCAAATATATATATATATATATATATATACATATATAGCTACATATATATAGGTATGTACATATGTATCAACAAGGTCAAGCATCACATCTGGGGTTCTGGGGCTTTACCGGGCAGAGTCGATCTTCCAGACCAATGTGGATTGTTTTCAGGGTTGAAAGGCTGTTTTGCCTTTGGAAGTCAGGCGACAGAGCACCCGACTCGCTATACCCTGCATCCCACAAGGTCCAGCTGAAATTTGCGGATGCTGCTGCCTCTGAAATTGCGTGGTGGCCAAGCCTTTGCTTGGGTTGCGAGTTTCCGGTAAAGAGTTTGGACGACTTGGGAATAGTATCCCCATACAGCCTCCCATATAGTGACACAAAAATGTGCCCTTGAACCCTATATTATCTTTAATACAGTGCCCTTGGCTTCTTTCCGCAGATGGCAGTGTGCCAAGACTTCCAGGATAGTCTGCATGTAGCAGGCTAATGGTAGCTGGCATGCCGGAACATACAATCGCGTGCATGAATGAACGTGCTACATGCAAGTCACGTACGTGGGCGGGAAGCATTTTCGTCAGGAGCTAGCAGAAATCCGCTGCAATCTGTCTTATAGCCAGCACGACAGACATCACAACACGCTTCAGCATGCTAGTGCAGCCCTACCAGACTTGAATCTTCGCTTTGACATTGACGCCCCGAGCTGTAGCTTCTGGGCGAGGGTTCAGGGCTGTCCTACTTGGAGGTTCATGGTTGGTTATAAGTGGGGTTATAGGTAGGAGAACTATTACCCATGAACCTCCAACTAGGACGGAAGATTTGCACTTCGGGATTTAGGGCTCAGGGACTAGGATCAGCCCCAGGCCACCGGAGCCCAGAAAGATCGTCATGCTTTTGTTTTCGTGGCTTCGGAGTGTTGCCAACAATACTTATAGTTTCTATAGTTGTTGTAACCATGATAGCTGTAATAGAAGTTGCAGTATAGGTACAGCATTAGTAGCCGTGGCAGCTGCAGCAGCACTTACAGGAGGCCTCGGAGTAGTCGTAGTAGTCATACGGTTGATAGACAAAATCCTGCATTACCCATAAAAAGGAATAGATCATAATTCCCATAGTTTAGGGTCCTTGTGGTAATGCAGGATTTTGTCCATCAACAGTAGTAGCAGCCATAGAAGTCGCCGCGGTACGCAAGTAGGACCTCATGCATGTGTGGTAGTTGTTGTCGTTGTGGCGGTGGTGGTGGTATCGGCTATAGCCTTAAGCCGTACACCCCATAGTATGATATATCCTGTATGGAGCATTATCGTCTCTGAACCCTACATCTGGAAACCCTAAGCCATTAGCACTCTGATCCTTGATCCCTACTTGGAGGTGTATGGGTAGTTATATGTAGGGTTAGAAGTGGGGCAGCTATACTTGTAACCCGTATTAGGGGACTTATAACCCTACGTATAACTACCCCTGAAACTCCAAGTAAACGCCCTGAGATCTTACCGAGGTCGCCCTTCTCCGCAGCTTCAACCCGGAGCTCGAAGAGGACGGCTCTTTGTTCAAGCGGGAGTCGGGGGGAAGGGCATTGGTCTTAGAGGGGGGGGGGGGGCTTTACTGTAGGGGTGTTGGGGTTTCGGGGCTAGGGGTTAGGGGGGTTAGAGGTTTAGGGGTTTGGGGGTTTGGGGGTGTCGAGGTTTTATGGGTTTACGGATTTAGTTCGGTAAACCCTAAATCGTGGAACTTTCGGAGCTGCGTGTCAGTTGGGTTCCAACTAAGAGAATATTCGGGTGTGCGACTTGCAGTAGTCGAGGTTGGCCAGGAATTTTAGTGTACTATAGTTATGCTGTTGTATAGTAGAACATTTTACAGAAGTATGTTCTAGCAGGTTAAAGTATGTAATAGAATTTATGTTTTATTTTGCATCATTGAAGCCGGACCATTTGCTGCATGCCGAGCATGATTGAAGGGGTCGTCGTGATGCAAGAATTTGATATGGTTCCAGGTCTCAGGACAGACAGACCCCGCAGCCAACGCACATGCTTCAGGACGATCTTTCGCACGATGCTCTGGACTTAGACTGCGGCTTCGTGTGGGCGATGTCAGTGGGTTTATGAAAGAAGCTGTCCTCCAAGCAAGTTCTCTTGCGGGTCTCCAGTACTCAGCCGGTCCCACCGGAGAGATGCCCAGGGTCTCTCAGTGCACTTGGCCTGTACAGCTGCAAGACTTCAGGTCCACAGCATCATCCACACCCAGTCGGTGGCCGTAGCCTTGAAAAGGGTTATTGGATTGCTCTGGGACCATGCAGCAGACGGAGGACATAGAATCACAGCCTTGAGTAGCACGGCACGGATGGGCGCACAAAGACCCCAATTCTAAGTAAGAAGGTCCCTACAATATGGTACCCTTATACATCCGTTAAAGTAGCCCTTATAGACCCCTTTTAAGGGAACCCTATCTCCTGAGATCGTAAGAGCCCGCTGCAAGGAAACGGGGGATCTGAAGCCCGAATGTAGGGGCCTTAATACCTAGAATAGGGTTCCTTTAAAAGGGGTCTATAAGGGCTACTATAAGGGATCTATAAGGGTACTACATTGTAGGGGCCTTAATACTTAGAATAGGGTTTTCCGTGTTTCTTTTACTTTTGGTATTATATACCCCTAAAGCCGGATTAAGGCCCATATATTAAGCCCCGGGCAGCAAACCAAGCCCAACATCTGACTCCTGAGCCCTGCATCTGACTTCCGGAATGCGAAAGCCTGCACTGTCGACAGGACAAACCCTGGTTAGGGTACAGGGTTTAGTTTTTTTTTTGGGGTTTAGGGCTTAGGGTTTAGGGTTTGTATAGGTTTTAGGGTTTAGGGTTTAGGAAGATCTGTCCGGCAAGTGTTAGGCCCTGAACCGAACCCCAAACCCATGAATACGAAGATATGGGTGGTCGTCAAAATTAAGGTCCCTTTTTGGGTAACCTAAATAATAGGTGCCGTATTACAATAGGGACCCAAAAAGGGACCATGATTTTGACAACCAAAAAAATGTTTCGTCCAGCCTGCATGAAGCCCTCACAAGATCCGCCAAAAACTGTTTGAAAGACTGAGAACACCTGTATAAGTTTAGGGTTTAGGGTGGTCCGTAAAGCCCTAAGCCCCAAACCCTAAAAGCGCCCATTACCGGGCAGGCATCAAAAAGAAGTTTAAAACAAAAGCCGGCCGAGGCTCCTGTGTGGAGGTTGAAATTAGCTTACCTCCCCAGCGCCAACCCCTGAAATTTACAGTACCCAGAGACTCCAATATCCCTTAATTAAGGCATATAACTTAAATTATAGTAGGATCCTTAATATGTTTTAAGGAATATTCCTTAAATCCTATCCTTAATATGATTTAAGGTAGATTCCTCAATGAAGGAACATTGGGAGTCTCCGAGATACTCTCTCCATGAAGCGCCTCCAGTCCTCGAACCGGGCTCTACCTACCAGGCATTCTGACTGTAACAAGGAGGCAATGGGCCCGAAAAAAAAAAAACAAAACACCCTAAAGCCACAGTCTTTTAGGTTGGCCGTTTGAGCACGCCAATGCTGGCTGCTCCGCCCTCAAGACATCGTACCAGATTGCCATGGTAATGCTTTAGGGCGTATTGTATATAGATTTTTTAGGGTTTAAGGTTTAGGTGGTATAGGGTTTAGGTTTCAGGCTCGGATATGATATACCAGTGTAGAGGGTAGGTTCGGTTAATCAGGAGCGGTCTATGCTGTGACCTTCAAGCAATCACGGTACGCTCCAGTACAGTGTAGTGTATCGCACCACTCAATTGCAGTCTGGTGGTCCAGTTCTTCGATTCTGCTACTTCGTAGGTGGTTTCGGGAACGTCTCTTCACTTTCTGTCGTGCTTTGTTGTGTTAGAGGCCTTTTGGTCATTCTTTTCAGGGCTTACAGCTCGGGGTTCAAAACCCTAAACCCTAAACCCTGCTTACGGGCTGCTACTTGATACGTTGCTCATTGTATGTCTGAGTACTTAGTTTTGCCCGTGGCACAGAGCGGCGCAGTTCTGACGGCTTGGGCAGGGAGACAGACCATGCGCAGCGGGGAGGTTGTATTGGGGTTTTAGGTATAATGACGCGGGCGTGAGCTGCATGGGATGTCCGGCCGGCCTTGTGGTTGACGGTACACAGAGTGTTGCATGGTATGGGTCAGCAGCTGTGATATGGGTGTGCATTTGGTGGTGTGGTGGTTGAATCCCTCTACAATGTACCTGTCACCCACACACTCCCTCAACCGGTACGGTAGTCTGGAGGCTTCGGTTAAAAGACACGAGGGTTCAAAAAAAAAAAAACCCTGCTTACGGCTTGGGGTTCAGGCCAAAACCCCAAGCCCTCGAGTGAAGAAGCGAGGGTCGGGCTCCCACCGTTGCGCAATGAGTCCTTCCCGCTGGCATTAAGAAACCTTGGGCCTTTATTTTTAGGGACCCAAAAAGCACATAAGCATGAGCATTTCATGGGGATATCCCTACCTTATTGGGCTTCCTTTCAAGGGGGTTTATATGGGACATCCCTATCCTAATTTTTGCTTATTGGGGTTCCTTACATGAATCCTACCATTTTGGGGTTCTAGGCACAGGGTCAAGGCTCGGTTTAGTGTTCAGAGGTCTGGAATTCGGGTTTAGGTTCAGGGTTTGAGGGAGGTTTTTGGGTTTGAGGCCGACTGTTGAATGAACTGGTTCCATGCATGTCTGGCGGTTCGGAGCTGGAGGAGTCGGCAGAAGTGTGGGGCCAATTTTGGGGGCGACTGAAATTTCCAGGATTCAGGGTCGCTTCGGGCTTGACCGCTTGGATTCCTCCCCAAGCCTCGAGCCCCAAACAAGAGCTTCCCTGCTGCTCAAACCATCAAACTCTTCATATATGGGGCGCATCACCGTGGGAGTAGATCGTTGGCAGATATCTTCATTGTATATCTAATATCTATGTCGTAGGGATTGTAAACCCTTAAACCCTATACCCCTAAACCCTAAACTCCGAAACCCTCAAGCCCTAAGCGGCCCCTAAACCCCTTAAAACCCCAAACTCGAAGTATCTCGAACTCCTGAGGCGTTGAGAAGCTTCGTGCCGTGAGGAGCTTAGCGGCCTGCGGGTTTCGGTTGTAGACGGCCGGGCCTATGTTAGGGTTTGGGGTTTAGGGTTTAGGGCCTAGTATTTGGGGTTTGAGTTTGGGGTTTAAGGCTTGGGGTCTGGAGTTTAGGGTTAGGGATTAGGGTGCAAGTTTTGTGTTGGGATGTTGGTGAGTGTATGCTTAAAGGCTCTTCTTGCGGATATTTGTAGTGAAACCCTACATCACATGGAAGCTTCAGCAGGATGCAGTGCAACAGTGGTGACTATTGCCGTTCTTGGTGTCTCTTCTGTAACTGCTGAGAGCTCGTCAGCTGTAATCATCCAGCAAATGTCTTAGGCAACGTGTTCTGCATCAACGGTATGCCCAGAACCCTAAAGTGCGGATTGCAAACCGCAAGGGGGTGTACGGTTGATGATATAAATCCTGCATTACCCATAATAAGGAATATACCATAACTCCCATAGTTCAGGGTCCTTAAGGTAATGCAGGATTTATATCATCAACAGTATGACCGCCGTTGGAAGAGCTCGCGATCGAAGGGACATGTGTCTTGGAGTGTTCGACAGCAAGGAACCTCAACTTTCATCGGGACCCTCCGGGGGGGGGGTAGAGGCGAGGGGGTAGGGGGCTGTAATTCCTTAAATAGGTCTTATTAGGTCCTTCTTATGGGCATTGAAGCCCCCTACCCCCCCTCCCCCTACCCCCCTAAGGGTCCGCATGAAACTTGGATTAAGGGTTCAGGGTTTTATATCTACTGTCGCTGTGCGACTTGGGGTTTAAGATTCAGGGTTTCGCGTGGGTTCGAAGGTTAGGGTTAGGGCTTAGGTTGGAGAGAATACTGCTGAGTAGTATCCGCGTTGAGGACTCCCCAACCACTCAACTCAAGACCCGTCAGCCTACAGCCCTAGCCCTAAACCCACAACTCCAAACTCTCAAACTCAAAGCCCTGAGCCCTAACCGCCACATCCTTAACTGTAGAATGCTACGGTGGATGATATAAATCCTGCATTACCTTAAGGACCCTAAACTATGGGTAAAGAAGGATTTATATCATCAACCGTAGGCCTTGAACTTCCGCTCTTCCAGGCGTGGGTTTAGACAGATGATGTGAGCCCCGAGGTTTTCTCAAGGAGAACCCATACAGGCCATAAGCCTTTGACGAGAAGGTATGCTTCAAAGCCCCTATTTTTATAGTATCCCTCATAATGACCCTTTAAGACCCCTTTTAAGGCACCCCAGTCTAATCGTTAAGGCCCCTGGGTTATAGTACTTCTTATACTAGCGCCCTAAACCCTAAACCCTAAACTCTAAACCCATAGCCATGGAATATACCTCAATTGTCTTGAGCTTCTGGTTGGGGTGCAAGGAATATTTGTGAAATCAGTTATCCTCAACCCAGAACACAGCCAGCCCGCCAAGCCCTTTTCCCAGGCTGAAACGCGGCGACTGGCTAGCCCGAGATATTGAGAGGCCGTTCCATGAAGGATGGTTCAGGGTCGGGTTTTGGGTGCCCAGAGACTCCAATACCCCTTAATTAAGGAATATACCTTTAATCATATTAGGGTTCCTACTCTAATGTAAGGTATATTCCATAATCAAGGGCTATTGGAGTCTCTAGAAACCCTAAACCCTAAACCCTATAGATCCCTTTATAAGGAACTCTTAAAGGAGCCCTTACAGATCCCTTTAAAGGGAGATTCGAGTCTCTTGGTACTAGGCCGCAGGCTCTAAGCTGGCTCCTGCCTTCAGACAGGTTATGAATATAGGCGCCTTAATAATTACCTATACTATCTTGGGGGCTCCTTATTGTAAGTATAGTATGATGGGCCCCAAAACCCTATTCTAATCATTGAAGCTTCTATGTTATTGTCATCACTGTCACAGACGAGTGCTCCAGAGCGGCCAACCCTGTCCCCGGTGACTCCGATAGCCCTTTTTTTTGAATGTACCTTACATTAGCGTAGGATACCTAATATGCTTTAAGGTCTATTCCTTAGAAGCTGCCCCCACCCTGTAATAGTGACTATAAGGATTATATTAGGGCCCTATCATATTCTTATTTTACCACTATTACAGGGTGGGGGCCCCTTCTAGTATATTCCTTAACTATGGGATATTTGAAGCCTCTGGGTCAGAGCCACACAGATGAAATAGATCCCAACCAAATCCGTGGCGCCTCAGACATCTTTTTCGCCAGCGACGGCGGCAGCAATCCGCGTGGCGGAAGGACTGCGACTGGGAAGGGGTCGGAACAGTTCGGGTTTAGGGTTTAGGGTTTTAGGGCTTCTGTGCGTTAACTGGTCTCTTACAAGACCTGGAGACAGTGCATGGCCGGGTGGCGAAAGACAAAAGCCTGATTTAGTATACATATCAGTGCGTCATCGCAGTTCCCACATGCCTTGTCCATCCCTGGTTTGCTTGGCTTGTTCACTCGCCTGTCGGCAACACGGGCTGAAACTCCGCAGACCCAAGCCATATGCCACGGCTTAACTTCCCAGACTTTCAAAACGGCAAAATCTTGACAGTCCAGCCATCAAACTGTTCTTGGTCGAGGACGACTGGTGCAAGTTTTCAGGGCTTTAGGGCGCGGAGGTTGGGTCAAATGCGACCGAACTCCCTAGGCACGAACTCTCCTGCCAGGAAGCCACTCCCCCACGCCTCAAAACCGACCTGGGTCATTGAACATCCATATCTGTGCTACAAGTTAAGACTAATGGTGACTTAAGAGCAAAGAAGTCTTTCACCACATATTGCCGCAGACTCTAGCTACCAGACATGACAGACGCCCAAGCCCCCTCCCCCAAACCCCTCAACCCTAAACCCTAAACCCTGAACCGGCTTACCAGGCTCTTGCCATGTTGCGCCGGAGAGGGCGCAGCGTGGCCAAGGAGCCTTGATCCTGGCGGCCATGAGCTAACATAGAGGGCCTCACGTTTAGAATAAGGTTCCTTTACGGGGTGTTGAAGGGTTCCATAAGGGCTCTATGACATAGGGGCCACCTAAATTAGGGCAGGGTTTCGGGGTATGCCTTGCTAGAGCTCTACTCAAGCCCCAAATCCGAAGAGAACACGAGAGCTTAGAATGTTTCTAAACTTTTGCCAAAACCCCCCAGACCCTAGGTACTACGGTAGGGATCCATTCCCCCATCCCCTACTAAGCACCAGACCCTAAACCCTAGTTTCGGGGAGCTTAGACTTTGAGGTCTCAGGTATTGAAAGCTGGGCTTGGGAATCCGGAAGCTTCAAAGAAAAATGGGATAGACCCCTGACAGACTAGGTGATCCTCCATGCTCCCACAGGGTTTACATGCGAGATTGGCTCCGTTTCTGCTGCTGGCCTTCACTGCGCCACGGCAGCTCCTTCCATGCAGGACGGGCAGTTGCGTGCCACGGCGTTGGGTGTCGCCGCTGGAGCAGCCCCCTGACCGAAAGTTCGATTCCACCACCGAGCCTAGACTTTGACAGTATACCCTACACTACACTACACACTTGGCTGTACACTATACGATACAATATACCATACACTACTTTGTATACACTTTGACTATACACTGTAGTACACACTACACTATACACTACACATTTTGCTATTCTGTACACTATACTATACTATACACTGTACTGTACACCATACTATACACTCAACGAAATACTATACTGGACTCCGTACTATACTCTACTAACTCTACTTTACTGTATCATAATAGCCTGTTATATATCATAGTGAATGGTTTTGAGGTGTGGGTTTTGTTTTAGCGGTGCTGGTTTGAAGTTTCCGAATGCTCCGTTACGTCTGCAGTCGTGGTCAGGGGTTCAGAGCACAAAGGAAGCGCATAGAGGAAGCCCTGAAAAAACATAAAAAGAAGGTCTTGAAGGAACCCTAGACCAACCCTAAACCCCAAACCGTAAACCCCTAAACCCTACACCCCTAAACCCTAAACCCCTAAGCCCTCCCCAAGGCGCTGGGTGGCAGTGGCGCCGGAGTAGCCGAGCTGAGTTTTTTTCTGGGGGGTGGTGTGGGTTGGGGTGTGGGGCTTTTTGGTTTGAGGGTTTCGGGTTTAAGGGTACAGGGGTTCAGGGGTTTAGGGGTTTGGGGTTTAGGGTTTGGGGCTTTTTGGTGTCAGGGTGTTTTAAGGGTTTAAGGGTTCAGGGTTTAGGGTTTAGGGTTTGGGGCTTTTTGGTTTTGGGGTTTCGGGCTGAGAGGCTTCCGGGGGTGAGGACCATATGCGATACTGAAAGAGCTCGATAGCGGGTCTATGTGGGTTGAGAGTTTCAGAGTTGAAAGTCTCAGGGTCAAGGGGGTTGGGGTTCATGGTGTAGGGTTTTAGGGACCCTAAACCCCTAAACCCTGAACCCATTAACCCTACCCAAAAAGCCCCAAACCTTAAACCCTAAACCCTTAAACCCTGAACCCTTAAACCCTAAACACCCTAATGCCAAAAAAGGCTTAACACCAACAAACTGAACCCAAAACCTTAAAACCCCCAACTCCACCTCAAAAAAGAGACCCTTAAACTCCAAAAAAAGTCCCTTAAACTCCACAAAAAAATACCTTTAAACTCCAAAAAAAAGACCCTTAAACTGAGGCCTTGGGCCTCGTGGCTGGCGGCTCTTTTGGAGCCGTATGCGGGCTGCTGCCCGCGCTGGTGACCTTCGGCCCCTCGGCCCCAGCTAATTTCAAAGGGGAAAAGGAGGGACCCTTAATACGGACCCCTAGGTATATACCCCTACAATACCCCTTAATTAAGGAATATTCCTTAAATCATATTAGGGATCCTACTATAATTTAAAGTATATTCCGTAATACAGGGATATTGGAGTCTCTGGGTTCAGGGGCGTAAGTAAATGAGTATAGGGTCCCTTTAAAGGGTTCCTTAAAGGGCTCTATAGGGGATTTCTATGGCAGCTAAAAAAAGGGGCGTAAGTAAATGAGTATCTCAAAAGGTAAAAGGAGGGACCCTTAATAAGGACCCCTAGGTATATACCCATAACATAGCCAGTATATACCCATTATATAGCCTATTGTAGGGTAGGGGTCCCCATTATATAAGGGTCCCTCCTTTTCCCCTTTGAGTATAGGGTTCCTTTTAAAGGGTTCCTTAAAGGGCTCTACAGGGGATTTCTAGTCGAGTTCTATGGTGTAGGGGCTTAACAATTACCAATACAAAATTCTGGGGGTTCCTGATTATAGTTGTGGTGCAACATAATTAAGGCCACTATAGTAGGAATATTTGGAGGTCTTACGGTTTTGAATTTCGTGTTGAGGGCTTAAGGGCAGTTTGTTCTGGGTTCAGGGCTCTCGTTTCAGCATTGAGGTCTCAGGTTTTTGGGTCTTCGAGTTTCCAGGACGAGAGCCGACGGATGTCAGCTAGTTGTACTACGGCTGATGGACAAAATCCTGCATTACCCATAATAAGGAATATACCAAAACTCCCATAGTTTAGGGTTCTGGGGGTAGTGCAGGGTTTTGTCCATTAGCAGTAAAAATCCTGCATTACCCATAATAAGGAATATACGACATGTCGTGACAGCGAGACTTGCAATATCTGTAGGGGCGCTGCAACCTTGTACCCCTTGCATGCTATAGCATTGAAGCGGAAGCAAGCAAGCCAGCCCGAGACAAAGAACCTGCTACGATGACTGCTTATGCCCTGAAACCTAGAGCCCTCAACCCTCGACCCTGAACCCTACATCCTCAACCCTCAACCCTAATGCGCTAGATCCCAACCCCTAGACCTGAGTCGACAAGCAACCCTAAATCCTAAACCGTAGAAGCGCAATATAGGGACCTAAGTAATTACCAATACTATTCTGGGGTAGTCTAACGGGCCCCAGAACCCTATTCTAATTATTAACGGCCCCTACAATAGTACCCTGATAGATCCCTTTCGTAGCCCTTCTTGACACCGTTTAAAGGAACCCTATTCTAACTATTACGGCCCCTATATTAAAGGCGTCTCGGTGCCCACCGGTGCAATTGTCCGGCTCTCAGTGTCAGCAGTTAGTTGGGGATACGTTTCGGGTTGATTCTTCGGGTTTCAGGGATTTGGGAGTTTCCGAAAAAAGGGGACCCTAATATAGCACCCCAAATGGTAGGATCCTTATTGTAAGGGCCCCCAAATAAGGTACCCCCCCATTTCGTCCTGGATGTTGAGTTACCCTGACAAGATTTTTCTGGGGGGCGCAGGAGGCAGAAGGCTAGATTGCCGTTGTCTCGGGTGCTGCAGGTGCAAAGAGCCTACTTCGATACCGACATGCAACTTCTTCGAGACATGACATTGAGCACAAGGTCATTTTTGAGTGAGCGAGCAAAGTGAAGGTCAAAATCTTGACCGCAAGAAGATGAAGCAGACACATCATGACATCAATGTGACATAATGCGGTGATTCCCCATAACGGGACACCCAAAATCTACAGATATCTAGCATCCCTGATCCTGGAGCCTGACATGCGATAATCAAACCATGGCGCTCCTGACCCCAAACCCCATCACTCCCCAAAACATCCCCAAAGCCTAGACCTTCAAACCCAAAACCCTAAACTTTTAACCCGAAAACTTCAACCCCAAACCCTAAAGCTAAGGCCTCAAGTCTGCCCCCAAAGCAACCTCCAACGGCCGAGTTGGGCGGCACGACCGGCCTTGTCACAGGTGCAGCTGCTGGAGGAGCAGCAAGCCGTCTTTTATGCATTATTCGGAAATTTTGTCATGAGTTCGAACGTGTTTGTAAGCTGTCGGGGAATCCAGATCCCTTTTCAAGGTTCAGGAGTCCCTTCGTGGAATCTGAGAGCCTTTTTCCACAGCACTTGGGCAGGAAGGACATGAAAAGGCCGTCTGTACCCCTAGACATTGAGAAATTGGCCCGCCGGCTACCCCAAGCGTTCCCAGATGCTGACGTCTGCGCCCCAGAAAATTTTTACAAGTACAAGTTCGTGCTAACCGTCACGACCGGCAGTACTTTTTATCATACGCTTTCGGATGGCTGAGCTTCTTCCGGTTGCTGTCATTTCAAGCTGTTCTGATTATTTATATTTCAAGCTGTTCTGATTATTTATATCTTGCTCTCAGCTCACGTTTCTCTTCTTGCAAGATGGTGTCGTTGGCGGCCCTTCTTTCACGTTTCAGCTCCAAAGCCTTGGCCGAAGTGGGAGTTTCCGAAAATAGGGGACCCCAACATAGTACCCTAAATAGTAGGATCCCTATTTTAAGGACCCCAAAATACGGTACACCTAAATTTGGGAAACTCCCAAGTACAGTGGTCCCTACGTGCGAGCCGTGAGCATTTTACAAACGAGCCAGGGCTTACACATGGGAGTTTCCGAAAATTAATGGTACCTTATTTTGGGGGTCCTTACAATAGGAATCCTATTATGTCGGGTACTATATTAGGGTCCCCGATTTTGGGAAACTCCCACATCACACCATCGGTCGTAGCCAACATTGGTGTGAGGTTTCAGGGCTTGGAGGTCTTCCTAATGCGAATCTAGTCTGTGAGCCCTGATAAGCGGCACGGGACAGTTCGGTTCTGTTTCGGGTTCCGATTTCGGCAGCAGATTGCCGGAACTGGTGATACAGGTAGCAACACAGCATCTTTGCCGATTTTAATGCTGTAAATGCTTTAAAAGTAGTCAGAAATTACTGGGTAGGTTTGCTCGTGCAAATAGCCGCCCTATTTCTTGATGTTCTACCCTATAACACAAATCACGAGGACCTGTCAAACCTTAGATCACAACCCCGATAACGAGGAGCCGCTGGTGCCGTCGGTGGCGGCATCGTGGCCCGTGTGGGCTGGGCTTGGGCCACACAGGATTTTAGGTTGGAAATCTGGGACGTCTAGATACTACTTCGGGGTGAACTTACGAACTAGATATGGCCCTGAGCTAAGCCGTTTAGTTTCAAGGTTTAGGCCAATGGGTTTATGGACCATCCAGGTGGTGAGCAGGGTTGAGGACTTGCCTAGCTAAGATTTGCGAAGTTTGCTTTTTCGGGGTGGGGTTGCACCCCGAAACCTGAGAGGTTTCATCCTAAATTCCAGTACCTTAGGGGTTAGCTAACCATTGATATTGGAGGAGCTAAGGAGCCAGGGGTGTTGATAATCCCTACTTGATAAGGAGCTAAAGAGCCAAGGGAAGCCCAAAACCATTGGTTAGTTAGGGTTTGGGGAGCAGGGTTGAGAGGGATCGTTGGGGATCAGGGTTTCGATCTCCAGCAGCTCGTGGTTTTGGCTTATTATGTCCCCTACTTGCAGGTTCAGGGGTAGTTATGAGTGGGTTATAAGTAGGGTAACTATACTTATCTCCAGTAGTTCGTGAGTTTGGCTTATTATGCCCCCGCAGGGGTAGTTATGAGTAGGGTTATAAGTAGGGTAACTGTACTTATAACCCATATTAGGGGACTTATAGCCCTACTTTTTGCTACCCCTGAGCCTCCAAGTACACCGTAGACCCTGAACCCTGAACCCAACCATCGGCTCCTCCTAGCACAGGAATTCTAACTGTTCTGCAGTTCGAAAAGGGCCCCCCTATACCCTTATAGAATCCCTATAGATCCCTTTGAAGGGACCCTTAAAGGAGCCCTTCCCTAAACCCACCCCAAAGGAGACGCCGCAGTTCCAAGGTCCGGCGATCACAGCTCGAGCGCAGTGCCAACGCTGCTTGGGCCAAGGCCTGGCAAGTGTGGGGGGAGATCTTTATCATCCTAGCTCTGGGGTTTGGGGGTTTAGGGTTTAGGGTTTCGGGGTCCAGGGTTTAGGGTTTAGGGGTTTAGGGGTTGAGAGGTCTAGGGTTTATGGGTCGAGGGCTTAGGGGTTTAGGGGTTATACAGGGATCACATGAGGGAGATGATATGGCAAACCTCAAGATTCTAGTAAAAGTATATATATATATATATATACATACACACACACACACACACACACACACAGATAGAATGGGGAAAAACTCTCGGCAGCGGTTTTCTCCACTGGCGCTGAGGCAGGCACCCCTCACGCTTTAGAAAGCCCCCCCTCCAGACCGTATAAAGAGGTGTAAAGCCAATCAAACGATACAAAGCCCTACCAAAAACATGGTACCACAGAGGTCGATGGACTTCGCACTTGTATTGTCTCATAGTGCCTATTGCAAACGTAGTTGAACATAGCTTAACTCAAAATGACCTGGGCCCGAGTCCAATCAAACCCCCCAAAACATACCGAGACCCTGTCAACGGAACCTGCGTCAAAGCCTGTAAGGGGCACGTAAGACCCTAAAAGCATCTGTAGTAGAAAGGCACCATGTCCAACCCTCACATTTCTGGAGCCCCTACAAAACGCGCATAAATCCCTTAATCCCTTCGATTCAACCCCAAACCCCAAACCCTAACCTGAAACCCTAACCCTAAGCCCTAAACCCCATCGACCACACCCCATAGACACTAAACCCCGAACCCTAAACCCGTACTAAACCCTAAAGCCCCAAACCCTAAAGGCCCTTCACCCTAAACCCCAAACCCTACTAAACCCTAAAGGCCTAAACCCTAAACCCTAAAAGCCCTACACCCTAAACCCAAAGAGAGAGTCGTTGGAGGTCCACAGCCTGGCAGGGAGCGTCCCGGGACTCCGACACTGTCGGCCTGCATCCCGGTCCTAGAGGGCCCATCTTTACCTGTAGCCGAAAAGACCTACCTTATTAAAGGGAACTCCAGAAAGTTGGAATATGGATTAATGGTAGGATCCCCTATAATTTGCCTTAAAGGGGTTACGATAATGATATTCCAACTTTTTGGCTTCTGCTGTAGGGTTCCTTATTATGGTTGCTATATATAGTTCCTTAAAAAGGTAGGTCTTTTCGGCTACAGGTAGGGTTTAGGGATGTTTAGGGGTTTAGGGTTTATGGGTTTAGGGCTTGGGTTTGGGGTTTAGGGATTTTGGCTGTTAGGATTAAGAGTTTAAGGTTGAGGTTTTAGGGTGTATAGTTTAGGATGGTTTCGAGTTTAGGGTTTTGGGGGTCGGTGTAAGGGTAAGGTCCCGTTAAGGGTTCCTTCAATCTTCCAAGAAGTGTGCATTCATAAGTCTTCCTCAACCGAAGGATCTCGATCTCCTTCTATTTGGGATGTTGAAGGGCGTTAGGGGCTTCGGGTGCAGCGGCGGAAGGTTTCAATGGGAGCCCTCGGCCCGCCAGTTTGAGCTTTGTGGGAAAGGTTTAGGGTTTAGGGTTTAGGGTTCTGAGGGGGGGGGGTTGCGGGTTTAGGCAGCTCTGCTTTCTCCGATTCGGTGATGGCTACTCTGAGCTCATGTCCTCCTTGTGTGCGGGGCTTGGTGCTTAGGGTTCGGGGGCTGAAGACATTCTGAGCTGCGATGTGGTCAGTGAATCTGCTCTTTTCCGAGGGCCGGTTGTTATGAGGGCCTAATCGGGTCGGCATTCTCACTTGTCACATCCTGTGAATTGGCCAAGTCACTTCCATTTCTGACCCGTGGCCTTAACTAAGCTCGAACCCCTTTTGCAAACACAGCAAGCCTTCTAAACCCCGTACCCCGAAAGCCCGAACATTGACTTCTCCAAGCCCTGTGAAAGGCTCCAAACTCCAAGCCCTGAACCTCGAAGCCTTAAAGCCTGAACCCACCCCCTCACACCCTGAACCCAAGCCAAGTTCGAACCTCTAAACCTCACTAAGCCGTACCTAACCCTAAACCAAAAACCCTAAACCCTAAACCAAGGACCGCGGCCCCCGGTGGGACGGGCGGCACAGACTGAACAGAGGCGGCCACAAGCTGGGAAGGCCTAGGTCTAATCCGGGCTTTGCGGGCTTCCTGGCAGTACCCAGAGACTCCAATATCCCTTAATTGAGGAATAAACCTTAAATTATAGTAGGATCCTTAATATGATTTAAGGAATATTCCTTAATGAAGGAACTCGGACCCGAACAGCCTGGTCTGTACTGACCAGTCGCCAGCTGGTACCGGTGCATTTGTGGTAATTTTCCCAAGCTTTCTCAACATGGTGCAGACACTTCACCAGCAAGGCCAGCTCAGCGACATTGTCCTGAGCTGCGACTGCACGTTCGACGTTGAGAAGGGTGTGGACGGTGTGGACTTGGCCTACTGCTGCCTCGGCATTCACCGCCAGCTGCAAACTGGTGCTTATCGTCGCACGGGATGGCCAGTGGCACTTGGCAGAAATTCGAAATAGAACCATGCAGTGTACCGCGCGACCTTCCAGACATTGGAGTCTCCGAGTATCTTGCAGCTGCTTCACATGTTCGCTGAGGTCTTTACACGTATATGGGAGTTTCCAAAAATAGGGGACCCTAACATAGTACCCCAAATAGTAGGAGCCTTATTATAAGGTCCCCACAATAAGGTATTTCTGGTTTTCGGAAACTTCCATATACAACTATAGGTATTGAAGAGAGGAGTTGGAGTTCATGTTTCGGGGGCGTTGAGTCCCGTGGGGTTTGGGCCAAGTGTTTAGGGTTTCAGGGTTTGCAGAAACCCCAGACCCCGCAAGAACCCCAAAAGCGCCATGAAAACCCTGAAGCTCGAGACGTTGAAAGGGTGGCGTACAGTGCACCATACCCCTTCACAGAGCCCTGGTAGATCCCCTCTAGAACCCTGATAGAATCCTTCATGGGGTCAGCCAACCTCTCTGTGATACCTCGGAATTTTAGAACCCCGTGGTCAAATTGCATAAAGCCCAAACAACTTGCACTACAACTCTTACAAAGGCTCCATGAAGGCGTATGGAGCTCTGAGAAGCGGACGCACCCAACCGCGCCAGGATTCCTCGCACCTTTGAATTCCGCGGAGAGTCCGTGCACAGCCACAGAAGCCCTTTTCTGGAATGGGTTTGGGGTTTACTTGGAGGTTCAGGGGTAGTTATAAGTAGGGTTATAAGTAGGGTAACTGTAATTATAACCCATATTAGGGGACTTATAACCCTACTTATAACTACCCCTGAACCTCCAAGTAGGGGAGATTTAGGATAAGGGGGGTCTATACAGTGCACTTATGGTGCGCCTTTGTTGCAGAGTTTTATGGTGGTTTAGGGATTCAGGATTAGGGGGGTTATGCGGTGCACTTATGGTGTGTCTGGATTTTGCAGAGTTTTATGGTGGCTTCATGTATGTAGGGCCTTCATATGTTTGCATTTTTTCTATGGCAGGGTTGATAGAATTTCTAGTTTTATGAAGTTTTAGGTTTTCTGCTTCCTTTTTCCTATCACTGTAGCAAAAAACGTTGGCTTTCTTCAGAGTGAGGGTCGTACAAAAGGTTCTGTGGGTTCACAATGGGTTTACAGGGGAAGCGGGTACATAGTGTGTTTTATAGTCATACTCTCATTGGTGTTTGGAACGGTTGTCTGTTCGTATCGCTATACGACATTGTAGCTGTATTTGTGTCAGTTTATGTTATACTTTTCTGGTAGGGTTTCAGGGTTGGCAGGGTCTCCTGCCGTTTCTTCGTGTGGCTTAGTGTTTTGGTCTTGTGTTTTGGGTTTAGGGCGCATGGGTCTAGTGTTGCGTTTGTAGGCTGTAGCTGTATTGGATGTGCCCTTGTCGGTGAGCTTGGATTCTCGCGTTACAGGGTCTGCACCCCACATGGCTTAATGGATTTGGGTTGCTCGGGCTAAGGTTAAACGGTTGCAATGGCTACGACCTCTGATTCAATAGGAAGTGTCCGTGCCGACTTGTCAAGTTTTCATCTCAGTCTCCGACCTCTTTCTAAGCCAGCCGCTAGTCCCAACACCCCGAACTACCCCAGAACTGTTCCTCTTGTATTGTAGAGTGTAGGGCATTGTAGGGCCGTGTGGTGGTTTACAAGCGCCTTGTCGGTCTTGACCTAGTTATTTGCATTCGCTCTGGACCCGAAATCCTGAAGAACCCTAAACCCTAAACATTGCACATTTTTTTAAAAAAAACCCTAAACCCTAAACGCTCAATCTTTATGCCGAAATCAAGCTTTGAACTTCCAAACCCTAAACCTTAAACCTTGATTCAACCCGAAAGCCCCCACAGCCAGCTCCGTCATCTTTTGTCGGGCTTTGGGATAGAGGCTTTTGAGACCGTAGGGTTTGGGTTCACGCCTGTCTTTTGGCCTGCACAAACCCACTGAAATGCCGCTCCCAACGGCCCAGCCCTGCAGTGGTCAGCAAGGGAACTTCGAGATTTAGTGTTTACGCCTTCAGGGGTTTAGTGTCAGGGATTTTTGACTTGGGGTCCGAAGGGGTTTGCGCATTTTTCTTTTTCTATGGGTTCGGGTTTGCTGAGGCCGTAGGGTGTACTTGGAGGTTCATGGGTAGCTATAAGTAGGGTTATAAGTAGGGTAACTACACTTATAGCCCATATTAGGGGACTTATAACCCTACTTATAACTACCCCTAGTAGGCCTGGGGGATTTGGGGAGATCATATTAAGGATCCTACTATAATTTAAGGTATATTCCTTAATTAAGGGATATTGGAGTCTCTGGGGAGATGGTATGAGGTGAGGCCGGTGATCCACCAGAAACCAGGGCTGCCAAGTTTGACCAGCCTCGCTCGGCCTGGCATGTCGCAAGAGCCACTCGGGTCACCCGGAGTCATACGGTTGATGATATAAATCCTGCATTACCTTCAGGACCCTAAACTGTGGGAATAATGGTATATTCCTTATTATGGGTAATGCAGGGTTTATATCATCAACAGTATGATATAGGGAGCTGAAGTTTGATTTAGTAATCTTATCGCCATAGGGGTAGTTCTCTAAATCAGGGTCCCTTTTAGGGTCCTTTCTCTCTGGGACCTTCAAAGGGGCTCCTCATATACAGAGCTGCCTATATTCAAAGGGGAAAAGGAGGGACCCTTAATGGGGACCCTACCCTATAATGAGCTATATAATGGGCTTATAATGGCTATATGAAGGGTATATACCTAGGGGTCCTTATTAAGGGTCCCTCCTTTTGCCCTTGGACATATAGTCCTCTATCATTGCCATCTAAGATACCGCAACTAAGGCCGCTGCGCTGCTTCCATGTCAGGGGCTACAAGCAGTTTCAGGAGTAACCCGAAGGTCTCTGAGAAACTACAAGGATCCCAGAGACTCCACCATCCCTTTTTTAAGGAACATGCCTTAAAATAGTAGGATCTCTAATATGAATGAAGGAATATCCCTTAATTAAGGGATGTTGGAGTCTCTGGGCAAGCATAAGGCCAGTATTCGGTAGCTGCTAGAGAGGGTCCTTGCCCCACGCCCGAAAAGCAAAGACCTGAAGGCAAATCCAGAACGCAACACACGCAGCTGACCCTAAACCCTAAACCCTAAGCCCTACTTGGAGGTTCAGGGGTAGTTATAAGTAGGGTTATAAGTAGGGTAACTGTACTTATAACCCATATTAGGGGACTTATAACCCTACTTATAACTACCCCTGAACCTCCAAGTAGACCCCAAAACCCTACACCCGAAGCCCACGCCTTCAGACTTGCCTGACCCTTGCTTTGAAGAGGCGCTTCTCACAGGGATGCGGTCCGGCAGACCGTTTGAATCGGTCGGGGCATCTGCGGGAAGAGGAGCCAAGCCCCAGACTCCCCCATATTTTGAGAGTCCGTCAAAGAGGTCTGAATAATGAGTGGCGGGTTAATATAATGGTTTCTAACTGTATAGTTATGCCATGCTATTATGATGTATCCCCCGGCTGTACTATAATATGTATTTATTCAGGCGTTTATATTGCCACTGCGCACGGGGGTAATGGCTGAAAAACTGGGCAAGTAGCTCTGACTGTTGAAACACCGAAACCTTCTTGTTCAAGCTCGACTTGAAAACCCAGACGGTGCCGTTGAGCTGTATGACTGCATTTTATTTCTATTGTTATCTGTATTCTATTTGTTAGTAGTTTTTTGTTATCGTTGTTTTTGTAATTGCTGTTAATGCTCCGTAACCCTTGAGCCCAACAGACTCTACCCCAAACACAAATGCCCTTTCCCCGGCAGCCCTCTAAACCCCTAGAAGCCCCCGAAAGAAACCCTTAGACAAATCGCTGAAAGCCCTGATTGATCGCTTCGTGTTGTAAGATCCTAAACCTTGAGTTCTACACCACAGCCACGATACGATTTAGGGTTTGGGGTTTTAGGGTGTAGGGAATAGACATCTGCTAATTCTAAGATCCTAAACCCTGAAACCCTTCACACCTCTTGTAATTCTAGCAGGTTTCCGTCGCACCGTTGCGCCCCAAGCCCCCGGCCGCACCGGAAAGCACAGAACCGAGGGGAGGACCGCCTCTGATTGCTTTGGGCCTAGCTGTAGGATGTAGGAACTTCCCAGAGACTCCAAAACCCCTAATTAAGGAACATAAATTATAGTTATAGTAGGACCCCTGATATGATGTGATGTAAGGTATATTCCTTAATTAAGGTCTGGGGCCGTTTAGGGTGTAGGAACTTAGGAATTGGATGTAGGATGCGCGGTGTAGGGTTCGGGCTCGAGGATTCTGGGTTTTTGGGATTTAGGATTTAGGGATTTAGGATTCAAGCTTCAGGGTTGGATTTAGCACTTAGGATCAAACTTATTGTTGGTTTGGAGGTTTGGGCTTGAGGGCGTTCGGGATTGGGGTTCTGGATCTGTTCAGAAACGGTTTGCTCGCCAACAATACCGCCAGTATCCGGAAGTTACATAGACACTGGGGATCTTAGGTTTCTAGCCCGAGAGCATTCAGTATAACATACTCCAAAACTCCTCCCAATAAGATCAATCAGCGCGGCTTCCCTTCTTTTTGCTTCAGCAA